CATTTGGGTGTAACGGGCGAGAATCCAGCAGACTAATTTGGGTCTGGCTGGGACAGCGCAGTTATTATTTTCCTCTGGACCATCAGGCAGAGGACACACAGCCATCTGCTGCACGCGCATACACAAACACACACGTCTCAATTATATCACTAAGAGGGCAGCTGCAAGCGCTGCCTGTCGTAAACACACACACACAACGTTTATAAGTACATGAACATGCACACATTATACTGTGTTGTTGGATCAACAGGGTGTTACAGAGAGACAGATTCTCCTGCTGGCGGCCTCTACAGAGAATGACAGGAAAGGGACACAGACAATGTTTCCATCCACCTGTTTCATGAGCATTTTGAATGAGGATGTGAAAAACTATGAAAACAAAAAGATGACATTGTATGCCAATCCCACCCCACGCCGCAAAAAAGTTGTTAACCTCTATGACTGCATCAATCTCTTTTTTCACTCTCTCTTAAAAAGGCGCACACAGTTAAATTCAATCCTGTCACAGGTGAAGAATGGCAGTATGTACAACAGTTTGTGAGATCAGAAACAAGTGTGAGATCAGAAATGTCACTTTTTTAAGCATTTTTTTCCGGTCAATTTTATCATCTTGTAAGCTATTTTGGTCAAAATCTGGACAAAAGCTCAACATGCAGAATCAAATTCAATTTAAAAAAAAAAGTTAAAATGGACCCATCTGCACACTTCCAGATCAAATCAAATCATTTTGATCAATTGTTGGATGCTACTAGACTAACTTTGCATGATTCATGATCTAAAATGCTCCCTCCCCTCCCTTTAAGATAATTTTCTTCTGATTGGAGGTCCCTCCCAAATAAGAGGTTTTAAAAGCTACAAAATCCTGCATTAAAATTCCAAAATGAGAAAAAAATATTAGCTTAAAAAAAGAAAAGAAAAAAAAAAAGAAGTATGAGGTGAAGTTGAGGGAGAGGTGGGATGTTAACTTTTCGCAGCAGCCATGTTTAATTACAGCTCCACTCTTTGTTAATGACTCTATTAATAGGCTGTTTGATTGGCCGGCCACGTCCCCCGTCTCCCTGACGAGACAGCAAAGAAACGAGTTAAACGGGTAAATCCTCTTTACACATAAATCTGCCTGAAGATTGTTTCAGCGCCGACCACCAAGCGAGAAAATTCATAACCTCGTCAATTTGTTAAAAGGCTTAAAAAAAATCCTCCCTCACCTCCTCGCCACCCAGTCATTTCTCCTGCACGCCACGATCTAATTAAAGTTGAAAAATAATTAGCGATATATTTTCCTTCCTTTAAAGAGAAAAAATGAAAAAAAAAGAGGGAAGGCCAGTGATTAAAGGAGAAGAGGAGGAAGGGAGAGCAATTAAGAGGATGGAGGTTGACGAACTCTGTGTACACATGTAGGATTACAGGGTGAGACTCGAACATAGCAGAGACAAGCTTGATCTCTCCCTCTCTCTCTGTCTTTCACTTCTTCTTCTTTTTTTTTAATCGGTGTGCCACTTCTTCAGCAGCTGATAAAAGCTGAAAGAACAAGATAACCAGCTCAGCGGAGCTGCCGGAAAAGCTTACGGGACCCGATTTGACAATTAATCAATTATTTGATAGAAATCATCAATCAATCTAAGTGGGGGGAATTAATCCAAGAGGTGGATAGAGAGAGATACAGAGACACAGTGATGGAGAGAGAGAAGAGGGGGAGTGATGTACCTTCTTCTTTAATTTGGTAAACTGATTGGCTTTTTTCCTTGTTTCCATATCTTAGAGCTTCCTATATCCAATTTACAGAAACAGAGTTTACAAACTAATGGAGAGAGAGAGAAAGGGAGAGCTACATCACAGATGGTAAATATGAGTTTCTTTCAACAAAACAATGCTCAGCTCAATTTACAGATATTGTAAATTGTGACTGTCAGAACATTATAAACGAAGACCTTCAGTCAAAGAGGCAACTCGGATTCATTATCAAACATCCTGAGCTCCATTAGTAACCTCAGACTGTACAGAGGTTACTCTGTAACATAGTTTTCAGTGCAACTGGGAATAGAGAAATAATACACATGCTCAAATCCAAGACTTAAACCTAGCATCACAGGACAGGAGACACAAAGTTATTGGTGTGTGATTTGCTCCAGTCACACACACTCGGGGTAAAGGTTGATACAACGTTGAAGATTACAATGACTGGACAAACCATAGATCTTTTTCTTTTTTTATGCATTGAACAATGGTTCTGCCGGATGTTTCTTTCCTGTTAAAAGGGAGTTTTTCCTTTATACTATTGCCAACCCCCTGGGGGTCATCTGATTGCTGGGGTTTTCTCTCTGTTATTGTATGGGCTTTACTGTACCTTACAGGAGTGTTTCCCAACCTTTTGGAGCCATGGCACATATATAGCAGAAATGGCTCGGTGTGTCCCCAGTATACCTTATTCGCTTTCTTCTGATCACTACTCATGCTAGGGCCTTCATCTGGGTTGGAATTTTCTCCAGGATCCAGGACAGATTGACAAAGACTTTTTCTTTTGCAATATTTATCTATTGCTATTATGCGCTGTGTCGTCTCACAACATCACTATTATGTAATTTCTTCTTAGTCTTCTTCTGTTTTACAGGTAGTTGGCAACCCATTTAATTAGAGCAGGTATTTGTACTGCCCTCTAGTGGAAGAGAATGTAATTGTTCTGGCCGTTACTCACACCTATCGCTTAGAGTACTAATCAGGTGGAACCAGTTAATCTTTCACGGCACACCTAATCATTTGGTTGGGAAACACGGCCTAAAAGTATAAAACACATTGAGAAAAATGTTGTAGAGATTTGGCGCTTTAAAAATAATATTCAATTTAATTGAATAAATGACAATTTCAAATGCCTAGAGTAAACTAGAAAAGACCCAGCCTAGCTAATTTAGACTGGATTAGTTGGTGGGGTTAAGTTGAATGCTAATTTCTCATAGCTGTGAATGTGAGTTTGAATGCTTGTCTGACTCTTTGTCTTAGCTTTGCCACCATCTGGTGACATGTCTGTTGTGAACCCTGCTTCTGGCTGGGATACCTGACTGGAGTAGGCTCCAGCACCCCTGCAACCCTGATAAATATAAGTTGAAAAGAATGGATGAATATAAAGAAATCCAAAGAATAGTTAATATATACTGAAGGACTGAGGGGTATTTGGGTTAATTTCAGCTTTTTAGTCCCATGACTTGTTAAGGAGTTATAGAATAAAAAAAAAAGGAAAACAATGAATCACAGCACAGCAATAGATGTCATGTCTATATACAGTTATAACATTTCCCGATATAATCCTTATATTAGCAGAATATCACACATCAGTGCTTTCCACCAACTGTTACATTCATGATTTGTACAAACACTTTCTGATCTGCTAGTGCTATAAGTAAGGTTTGGCTAACATTCTGAAAATTCTTCTTGTATGTTTGAGAGTTTCACAAATCTCTCAAGAGTCTTTTTAATATTCATGCTGCACAGACACAAGGACACAATCATTGTCAGTTGTTCTCTGAAGGACTGTACGAGCGCCTCGCCTTACAATCCATCATGTAAACAAGTAAACATCGGTTGCTGACCTTCCAAATTGATTGTTACTGCCTGCTACAGTCGTATGCAATCAGGTGTTGGAATACGTGTCATTTTCCTGCCTGTGCCTTAGGTGTCCCTCTGTACTTCTGAAGCCAAGCCAAGGAAGAAAATACTATTTGTGTCACTGTGTCAACACAAAGTTTAGGGACCAAGTAACAAAGATTAGGCTAAGCTCACAAAAAGATTGTGGTGGAAAAACAACATGCACAAGAAACACAGATTCTGTTGTCAAAGTGATAGACTTTTTACACCAAACAGCTAACTAGTGGGCAGTTTTCACACACACATGTCCCTCAGTGCGGTTTCAACAAATATGTCCTCTCTGTTTGCATGGGGGCCTGGCAGGTACTTCCTATAAAACCAACCGAATGTAGCTCCTTGTTGACGATTGGCTCTTTGATCCATGTCCCCTTTCACAAGTCTTTGCAAGTGAATTGAAAAGGGTGCTTTTCCTGATTTCTACCTGTTGTGCAGTAGATGGCGTTTGGCACACTGCTGAGACCTTTGTGCAGTGGTGCATTCAGGCACTGTGGGAATCACCAAATGTGGAACTCACCTCATTAATAACATCTTTTTTTTTTGTAAAGAGAAAGCTTAGAAAAATGATTTGGCCTTAAAGATGACAATACAGATCACAAAACCAGTTGTGTTTGACAGCTGATAGCTACATTTCAAAGCAAACACTGTAGGTTAATGAAACAAATTTGTTTCCTCTTATTAAAATTAAGTCAGCAAAAGCAGACAAACATGTCTAATGATGCTTTTTTTCCTTTTTTTACTCTGTATTTCCTGTTTTCATGAACAAATATTGGCATTTCGTACACAAGCTGACAGAAGCTACAATGTAAACAGGCTGATATGACAGTTTGAATCCTATTTAATTCAGCAACACACACACACGCACACACACACACACACACACACGGCTTGTCAATACAGACTTATTAGTGCCTCCAAGGTCGATGTGTCGACCTTCAGGATGGACGCCTGTCTCTATTAACAGGAACTGGGGGAAAGTGAGCCAATTGAGACACAGAGCTCGTCACCAAGCTGACAAAGTACAATGACGTGCCCCCCACCCCCATCCCAACACATACACACACATACACGGCAATAAAATATGCATTGTCGCTCGCTGCACAAATCAACAACCGTCCGACGAGCTGATGAGATTTTAAATGAGCCTTAATTTGTTGGGAATTGTCTTTGGTGACGATAGACGAGAGAAGGAAGAATGATAGAACAAGAGACGGACTAAATAAACACCAAGAGACAATCAGAGATAAAGATGGAGAGACAGAGAGAGAGAGACAAAGGATCAAAAACAACAGGACTGATCTTTGAGATGCTTAATGTTTTTTCTTGACATAGCAGTGACAAAACAGGCACACAGGTGTGCGACTTACCTGTGACAATCCCAGGTAGATGGAAACCGTCTCAGAGATGTAGAGGAAGCGCCCCTCTTTGTTTAGTGCAAATACAAACCCATCCAGAGACTGAAACAGAGAAAAGGAGAGGTGGACGTTAAATAGACTTCTCAAAAAAAAACTTTCTTGGGTACAGAGTGTAAATAAAAGATGGCATACGAGTTCATCCATTGGTTTTTTTTTTTAAATAAAAAAATTAAAATTGTGTTGATTTACATAAAACTTGAAACTGCTGATTAAGACAATAAACTCATCAGAAAAAGGTTTTCTGTGTTCATAGAGGAAGGGAAATGAGGGTCATTCTCTCACAGACTTCTACACAGTCAGAAATCGTTTTGCAGCCCCACCAGTAAAAAGAATGTCGATTTACTTTACTTCTTTCCTTCTTTCCTTACTTTAGGAATTAACTGCATATGCATAAAACATTTTTTAACCTAATTTTGCATGTTCACGATATTACTTTAGTGAGTTTCTCTTTTTCTATTGTTTTTAGTTAACAGCTACAGTGTTTTTCCACACTAGCTTTTAGTGGAGTTTTAGTTCAGCAGAATGACCTTGCTTCAAAAGCAGCTACCGACCCAACAAGTCAATAAAAGCCCATTAAAATGTAGCAGCTACAGCCACAATAGTCTTGATTGTGATTTCTTTTTTTCTTTTCCATCTCCTTCTTTGTGTTGTCTCTGTCACTTTCTTACCAACTAACCCCCCGCCCCCACTGTCACTTTGTTCTTGCCTAAAAAGATACAAATTCCCTACCTCTGCTGCTGTTAAACAATGGATGGTGGGGCTGTGTTCATGAGGAGATCACAGAGCAGGAAGAAACAGTCCAACATAACACAGCAGACGGAAAATAAAGTAACTCATATTTCCTCCTGTTGACAATGTGACAGCAATGAAAACAGAAATCTGACAAATTTTCCAGATGCCACTGTGACATCGACATCTTTTCATTATTCGTAGGTTGTTTTAAACATTTGCTTTAAGTTCCTTTATTAAAAACAAATCTCAAGATTTAGCTGACAAGAGGATTTAAAAAAAACCCAGATACATGGAAAAGTACGTCTCTCTACACACACACACACACACACCTCCACCTCCACAAAGACATCCAAGTGTGTCTAATGGTGTATTTCCGTGACGATCATGGTGCCACACTCGACTTCAGCAGCAAATCACACATGCAAAGATGACACACACATGCACATGTACACAAACGCACACACACACACTCAAGCAAATGCACGTCTGAGTGTGTCCAATGCTGCTGTTATGGGAAGATCATGGCAGAACACTCGACTCCTTGAACACAATACACTGGATCCAAGCGCACACAGACACACACAAAGGCAATGATACTCCAGAGGTCAGCCAGGTTAATTACATGTAGCGTCCTACTGTTATTGGTAATACACAGTTTCCTCCTGTGTGCACATGCATGTGTGCATGCTAGTGTGTGTGCGTGTTATATCTTGACACTAAGTGCATACTGCACGGTGTGTATTACTTTGGGAGAGAAAGAAGTGCAAGCAGTCTGAACCATTTAAAGGGATTGAAGATAACTGGCTAAACTATTAGGTACAGTCCAAGACAATGTGTTTTTTTTTCTTTCATTCGTTATTGTCACGTTATTGAGCATGGATCAAAGCTATTGATCCAATAAAATGATTTAACATAGAAATACATTAAACTATCAAACAGCTACCAGAGTGACTCCCATTTTGGATGCTTTGATACTTTGAGGCTTTTACATTAATCAGAAAAGAGAGACAAAGAAAAAAGAGACTTTTTGGATTTTGACAGTTCAAATGTCATCTGTGTAGCAGCTAAGTAGCACCTTCGGTGTGACTGTTGGGTATTTAATTTTCTTCTTTCTCTTTGTCAGATATAAAGTGCTATTTGGAGATGGCCTTTAACCTTTTATGCCTGGCTAATTATTCTAATGCTTACATGGAGGGGTGTGGGTATGTGTTGTCGCTGCACCCCCACCGCCTGTGTCCGTTTAGTCTGCCCTCTCAGCTAATGAGATGTTAATGAGATGTTAATCATCAGTGAGCCGCATCAATGTCCATCCATGCTGGGTTCCTCATTAACACACATCCTGACTCTTAGGTGTGCGCAAGCTTTTGTGTGTATATGTGCAGTTGGGCACATGTTTGCTGTGTTTCTCTATCTGTGTGTGTGTTGTCAGATTACGATCCAGATGGTTGTTCTCTGTTTTGATGCCATTCACTTTAAATGTCTTTATCCTCTAATAAGTTCATTATCCTTAGAAGACATTTAAACATAACAGCTAGCTCAATATAATATTGGTTAGATATATTAATCTGGTCCCAATAACACACAGTTTATGAAAATATGACTGGAACCTGTTTTTGTGCTTTGCATAGAAAACAGAAAAATATAAAATGCGTTCACACTACAAGTGACTAAATTGTAAAACGGACCATCGGGTCACCACTGAAGTGCTGCTCTTGGACTTGCCAGTATCATCTCTGGGCTTGTCTTCAAATGGACAGATAATTCCAAGATATGGTTTATCTCTATATGACTGTCTGATGCTTCAGCACATCAAGCACAACTCTGATTCATTGCACATCACAACCATCAAGCACTGGCATGTGCCAGGCATCAGTTTGTAGCTTTGTAGCGCCATTTTCCATTGACATTACTAGTAGTCAGTTGCCTCTGCATAGCTAGTGTGAAAACAGCATTAGTCACTTTGTTTAAATCAAACCAGCTGGGGTTATGAGAGCCTGTGAGCTTTGCATATGCTGATTTTGTTCTTCCTCATTTGATGGGATAAAAAGTGGAAACAATTTACAGAAGACATGCCTTTGATAAATGTGCACTAGAACAAAGATGACTGAGACTTCGTTTTGCAGAGACACTACTACAAAGAAATGGAAGTCAGACAATCTCCAACACTGTAATGCCACAGATGTTGGTCGTTCCTTCTTTCCCTAAAAGCCCCTCGACATTATATCCGCGCCAGTCCGGTGACTGGAACGATATAAGCTCATAGTTGAGCTTTTCAATAGTTTCAAATGTGCGATGGCAGACATCAGAGAACAGTCCAAGAATAGGTTTAAGAAGCTGGAGATTTGCATAATCAGATTTTACTGATAATTCTATACATGAAGTTTTAATAATCAGGCCGTTATTGGAATAAAGCTCTTTCCATTCACATGGCTAAGGGTTTGGCCTTGTTACCATTATGTAACAGTTTCTTGGACATACACATATACCGGCAAGAATGAATAAATGGTCATGGTCCCCGTGCCTGCCCTCACAAGGCTACATTTGTGTTTTTGCTTTCTCTCTCTCTCTCTCCCCTACCTCTCTGCCTGGGCGGAGCTCACTGCTGGCACTGGATTTCCCGACTACTATTTGAGGCTGGGCCACAGATCTTCTCATCGCTGGATGATTGCGCTACTAACGTTAGTCTCTCTTCCCAGCTCCCGTGGTCTTGTACCTTTACACCCTACCTTCGTGACTTGTGAGTGATTTTTCCCTTTCTTGTTCCAGTTTACCTTCTCGGACCTGTGACCTTCCAGCTGTACGAACGTGTGTGAGTTGGATGTGAGGACGTGAGCGAGCGTGAGAGAGAGAGCCTTCCCCTAATCCCTTGGAACCCTGGATTTTTCTCCGTCACTGTATATATTATCGCACTGGTGTGTAAATAAACGGTGCTCTGAGACGTCGACCTGTTCTGCGCTTGAGTCCCTGCTTTCAGATTGTGACAGTTTCTTTCTTTCATCTAATTTTTACTGTGGACCTATTGCAAAAAAAAAAAAGAAAAACAAAACAAAACAAAAAACCTTAAAATTTCTATAATCAATAGTGTGAAAACACAAACTTTCCTGTCATTTGATTGTTTATCAATTACTCAATTACTGTGGTGTGGTATAAATGCCCATGGGGCAGATCTTTATCAGCAGGAAGCACTATTAAACTTGCAAATTATGGTAAAAGTTCTCATTTTTTCTCTCCTTCGTATATTCCACAGCCATCGAAGTCTTTGCCAAGCGGATTCTGACCCACAGGCCTAGTGTGTGACACCCCTGCTCTAGAAAAACTTTCTTTGTAATGTTCAAAACTATGTAACAACCATTAAATTCACAGCCTTAGATGAACCATAATGAACAATATGTGTGAAAAGTAACTATTAGAACCTATGATACATCTACTTTGCTCAATTTTGTTAACAGAAGTCTTGTTGAGAGCCAGTGAATGGTTACTATATTATAATATACATGCTTAAATAGTTCCTGAAAAGCTAAAGGGGTCTAATAAACCTAAGTAAAGCCATAATTGGTTGATAGTTAGTCCCCATTTTCTTCAGCGAAAGCTGCTGAGGTTTCTTGGAAAATTGTGACACAGCTGGTACGCCTCTGTCTTTTTGCCCCTTTATACAAACACAAGCCAACAGGGGGAAAAGGCTGAGATGTGGAGATAATCACAACCTGTGTTTTTCTTTTTACAGTTTTATCATCTTGTCTGATTGAGGTCCAGGTTTAGCAACAAGCAGCTCCAGGTGAAGGAACGCAAATCTGCCCATTTCAGAGGGATTAAAACGGATTAATTAGAATTGGAAAAGCGAGTTGAAAGGTGGAAGCACGTGTGTGTGTGTATGTGTGTGTGTGTGGGTGTGTGTAAATTATGCTGATATGAACTGATGTAAACACTCACACAGACAGATATAGATGTGCTGTAAACAAACATAACCTTGCTGACTGCTTTGTTAAGTCCCCGGTTGCCTCCCAGAGGTTAAGCAGGCCTCTGATTATTAGAGCTCTGAATCCAACCAGAGCACAAACCAAATTTTATTTTTCTGCTGTGAGCTCGTGGTTTTTCCCTCAGCTTCCTTTGGTTTACACCAGAAATTATTTACAAGGTCGACAGGGTCTTGAAAGGTCGGTGAAAAGTTGTAAGATGCACAAAGGTCAGTGTAAGACTCAGAAAGCAAGTGTTTTCAAGCCTCACTAACTGACATTTTCAGCATGAATAGATGCCATAGTTGCACACTGCTGTTAACTATAACTACTCTTTTATTTATTGTGAACAGAGGG